TTCAAAGTAAGAGTAACAGTAGGTCTCACAAATGGTTGATTGTAGATCTAGTCCAGAACAGAATTCAGTGTAACTAAGCTTTTTCATCCCTCCCAAACTCTTTCATTGACAGGGCTACCTGGACATGCTGGAGAGTCTGGCGCTAAAGGATACAAAGGGAAACCAGGAGAGAGAGGCACTGGCGGCCTTCCAGGTGTGATTTGTATCCTCTCTCTCCCTTGTTTTCCAGTTCTCTGAATTCTGGTTTTTGTTTCTCCCACTTTATATGAGACAGTTGAAATTTTTCCCTTCTTTTGGAGCATTTTGGAATGTATATATTTTTGTAGTTGAGGTCTCTGTGTTCCTGAATATATGAGGTTCTGCTTTCCTCCTCCAAGAGGAAAAACAGGTTTTTCCTCATTCCAATATAAGTCTAGAAACACAATTCAGCCCCAGCTTGAGCATTACTTTGGATTTGTTTTTGTTGTGTTTTGTTTTTAAAATAATCAGTGTACTGGAGATATCAGAAAAGCATAATATCTTCATAAATGATAAGAAAAGACTGCTTTACCAAAATATCACAGAGACATCCAAGGTAGATGCAAAAAGCAAAGTTCTGGCCAGAGATAAGAAGCAATCAGAGAAAAGATAGGAGAAAAAGACAAGATAGTTCATTGTTAATATAACAAAGAAGCACTGAACATTTTAGAGTAAACATAAGCAGAGACATTTAAGTAAATAATGAGAGAGATTTAAGTTCATAGGGCACATTTTTGGATGTGAAAACAGCAGGGTAAATAGTCTTTATTAGGAAAATTAGGATAAAATATTGCCATAGCAGATCCTGATCTGAGTTAGTGGGGTAGCTCTACTGCAACAAAATTAACTCTGGATTTGTAACAGTATAGTAGAGATCAGAGCCTATTCCCTTGCTCAGTAATGTTCCACAGTGCAACAGGAAGGTTGTTGTGTCCTTGTGGATATAAATCCCATTGAAGGACTAAGTCCTCAGATTTCTCTGAAAGCAGAAGAAAGTACCTATTATAATAATGTACTTCTTCTATTCCTGGTTCCCAAACATGTGATTGAGTCAATGAATTCAAAGCTTGTGAACACATTTGACTTTTTGAAGTAGCAGCATTATATTTCAAATACGTAAAAATGAAAATGACAAGATTGTGCTTTACAATTCTCAGGTGCAGTCGGATCCCCTGGAGCTGATGGACCTGTTGGTGAAAGGGGCAGCCAAGGACATGATGGTTTCCCTGGCTCTCCAGGGGAAAAGGGAGAATCAGGTACTGCACTGAAACAATTTTTTTACTTATGGTTTATCTACTTGACTTCCTTTTCTCATCTTTAGCTGCATGGAATTTCCTGCTTTGTTCCTCAGTTCCTTAGGTGGATTTCCTCATTTGAATCTCTGACAGTAGAAGCAAACTTTAGCATTGTAAGAGATGCCTAAATTATTCCTGTAAAATAGGCCTTCATTCTGAACACAACTAGTCTAAACTAATAAAGATTTTTGGAGATACTTAAAACAGGGAGGCTTGACTTGAACAAACAGATGGTAACTAGAAAAATATAAACTTGAGCTTGCAATGGCAAGTTAAGGGCTGCTAAGTTGGACACATATATTTTATCTGCTTTAAAGGGGAATGGGGAGCTCCTGCTTTGGAGTGCATACCAGTCGTTTCCATGTAACTGTTATGTCTACACTGGGGGTGCAAATTCACTCAACATCCTAGGCCAGATCTGAACTGTGTGGGTCTCCTCACAGGCCAGATCTAAATGTGGTAGTAGCAATAGCAGCAGGCCCTACAGCAATGACCCATGGTGATGGTAGCAGTGGCCCAGAACAGGGCCCATGGTGGTGGCAGAAGTGGAGCCAATAATAACAGAGGCAGCAGGCTAAGAGGCAGCAGGGCAACCAAAGCTATAGCATCAGAGCTCTCACTCAGTCTTCTCACTGATGGCCATGTCCAACAGGATCTTGTAGTCCTAGATTCTGTGATGGGCCACATGTCCAGCTAGCTGGGTCCAGACATTCCCTGGCCTTCTACAAGCTCCAGAGGCCAGAAGGAACAGCACCATGAGCTAAATCCAGCCTGATGGTCATTACTTGACACCCCTTGTCTACATGATCTTGTAGTGATACAAATGAACTAAATCATCCTTACTTTGATACTTGATGAAGCAGGATTAAATTTTAGGGGTTTTGCTGCTCTTGTATCACTGCAGAAACATGGAGACATAATAGTTGCATCATAACAGCTTGTACCAGACCCTTTGCTATCACTGTGTTGTTGTATCTGTCTACACTCATCTGAGATATTATTTTTCAGGAGCTCTTGGCCTAGGGGTACCTGGTCCACAAGGTCTTCCTGGTCCTAAAGGTGAGTTTTATTAATATTTGATAGCACCCCTGGTTTTTAAACATAGTGTTATTCTTTTTCCACCACCTGCCCTATTTTTTACAAGGTTGAATTCTGTCCTTGGATGGTTAAATTGGCACTTGAACACTTAAAAGCACAAATGATTTTTCAGTCAAGACCAGTGATCTGGCTCCATATATTAAGTTGCAGGAGTGTCAAAGGGGGGGCTCGTTCAGATCTCGATACTACGCGCCGTAGCCTCCGCCCCTCTTGGTAGGGGACCATCCCCAGGGTACTCCCCCTGACAATGCTCGTCTGTAGGCTGGTTGCCTCTGGACCGCCTGCCACGACTTTGATGACCTCTTGGTCAGTGAGAATAATTTGGAGTGTGTCAGTCCACAGATGAGACTCCTAGATCCCAGGGGTCCCACGCTGTCGAGGGCTCCTCCGCCCCTACACCCTCGCCTGTACCTCCATGAGGTTGATCAACCGTCTGCTCAGCCCCCTTATCAGGATATCATGCCCGGTGTCCATAAATCAAAGCAAAAAAAAAACAACTTAACGCTAACAGCCAGCGATTCCCCAGAGCCTGGAGGCTGCCAGGACCTTTCACGGGCCTCCCCGGTCCTTCCCTGTCCGCTGTGGGGCTACCACCCTTCCTCAGGCTCCAGTTCCAGTACTTGATTTGTTCCAGGGCTTGCAGGGTCCACTGGCCCCTCTCCGTTGCAGCGGCGGCACCTTCCTAGCTGCGAGTGCCCCTCTATTAAAGGAAATACAGCTCGCCGGCTCTTGCCGAGCCGAGCCCTTCTCACTGGCTCAGAACTGTCAGTGTCTGCGTTGGGGC